GTGAACCGCGAGCGGTCATTTGACCCCTTATGGTAACATAGGTATATGTAAAATGCCGGTACGTTTAATGTTAAATTTTATCAGTGGCTTCGACTGATTTCCGTTGATCCTCTTTAAGCTCTTAAATTTCTGAACCTGTTTCAGGAACCTGTTTCGTGTTTTCGAATTTTTCGGAGCTTGAAGCTTTCAAGTGTTCGAATTTCAAACACTTGGAAGTTCCAAATCTTCGAACTCTGGAAGCTTAGAGTTTACGAAGGAATTTTTAAATTTTGGAAGCTTGATAATTAGATTTATCAAACAAACGAACGACACAAAACTACGAAAAGAAGTTGCTTGAATGGTAATCTCGATGGCAAAACGTCACGTTGGGAACGAAATGTTGACTGACGCGCATTCGTGATCGCTGTACTATCGAAACCTCAAATCAAGCATAAACATGACTCGCAGACACATGAGAGCAGAAATGTTGTCAGCGCATTCAACACCGCCTGTCCAACGTCAGAAACAATAACTATTCGAGTCGATTAACCAAACATCGTGTTTCCAATTACTCGAGCAAACTTTTTTACTTTTACATCTCAAGCTCGCAACTTTTCACGAATGTAAAATCTCGACGCTCTTAAAGTTCATAAATCTTTCAATTTCCAGTCTGTTAGGTTTTTTGAAATTTCATGTCTTGCCCATTAAAGAAAGAAAAAAAAAAAGCAAAAGAAACAAGAGAGAAAAAGAGCAAAAGTAATAGAATGACGTGAATAATTGAAACGTTGAGAACATGAAAGTGTGGTAGGTTTGATTGCGTTGAGGCAGGATAATTAACGACGTCCTGATGGCCTGCCATAACGTGACTACCGTTGCAAATTAATTCGACGGGTATCCGCGCGACGAAAGCTCGTCCCAGAAACAAACGCAGAACGCAGTGCGAATCGATTGTTCGCGAATTCGATACGCGGATGCCCCGAACGGAAACCCTCCTGTTGTCCAATTGCAAAATGATATATTATCTGATTCAAGATATTCAAATTTAAGTCGGACCTTTATTATTCTAAATCTATCTGCTCACGAAAGACGAACGATTACAAGTAAACTTGACATTTTTATTTTTCTGTGATAAAATTCTTCCGAAACTTATTTGTCAAAAAACTGGAACCGTCAATCACTGAAATTCCGGATCTCGGGATTCTCGAATTTCTGAATATCTAATGAACATTAAATCAAATTAGTTAGCTCGAATTTAAATTCCCAAAGTTTCCACGTTCCTGAATCATCGAATCGCCTAAGCTGCCAACTTCTCAGACCCGAAATATGAAAGTTTTCGCACGTTCATACGAAATTTCAGTCGCACCAATCATCTCATTTTTCTCCAGAAACGTTTGCGTTACTCAACTCAAATTTTTCTGTCTCGCGTTACAAATAAATCACCAATCGATCGAAATTTCTCTCCGACGCTGTTAAAAGCGTGGGGATCTTCCCTTTATTGTGGCCTTCGAGTCACACAGATACGACATTCCGTTCCCGAGATATCGTCGTTGAAAGGTATAGTGTAATTTTTACTGGCGAATAGGTGCGTCTTTTTCCAACACCAGTCGGACCTCTCGCTCGCATTTACGCAACAACCGACTATAGTCACGCTATAGTCACGCGTGCGCTGGTCAGTGACAACCCGTTGAGTCAGCGGGTTCTTTTACTATAGTCACTAGCAACCGTACGTTGAGTTTACCCAGGGGGAAACTGGGTTACACACGGTATAGTTGTGCAACCCACATACTACACGCCGTGGAAATTTAAAGCTCGCTATCTCGTGAACGGATTGAGATATCGGGACGGAACGAAGCGCGTTCCCAACGATATACTTTCTACTATCTATCGAGTAGAATTTCGCGACACTTGTCTAGATATTTCTCGGTGTATCTTGAGGCCAATATTTTCACTTTGCTTCAGCGAGTATTCCACGTTCTTTAAAATAAATGAAATAAACCGGAAATTAGGAATGAAATTAATTTTCAAGGAAGTGGTCGTATCGAATAAATCTCGAGCGAAATTTCGAAGTGATTAGTATTCGAGACTAATAGTCATTGGTCAAATTTATTTTGTCAAGTTTTGTCAATAACACTCAAAATTCACTTTAAATTGATTTTGATTAATCTGATTCAAAACTGACAATAAGAAGTCACACAAATATATTGCCCTGCCACGTGATTGAAATTCAAATTGATGCAAAATTGATGCAGTTGCTCCGATTTTTCTAAACTTCCTATTTTATCATTTATTATTAACAAACATTAAAATGACGAATTATACGGCTTCAACTATAATATTTAATGAGAGAATTTGCGTGTTTATTAATTAATGATATATACGTGTCCTTGTAGCCAATATTTCCACCAACTACCAGTTGTACATAATTAACGAGTATTGTATGCGTACACTAATTGCTCGAGATTAACGAAATAATTAATAATATCCTCTGTTTTACATCCTCTATTTACCAACCCGGATCATTTAAGAATAACAAGAAGAAATAATCATCGACTGAACTGAGCCTGAATTTTGCAAATTAATTCTTGAAAGTTCGTTAATTTTCAATAATTAATTTTTTTTTTCAATAATTAACGCAAGGCAATTGAAATACATTTCTTCTTATTGCTGTATTCAATTAAAATTATGCAACGTCGATTCACTAGAAATAATCTTCCCTTACAAATAGTTAAACGTGTTTGAAACAACAGTTGTAACGTGTCCTAAAACAACTCGCTGAAACGTCGAATGAAAACGAATAAAGGAAACAACTACTATTCGGAGCGTGTGTTGCTGACGAGAATATTCATGAACGATCTTCGCGCGACTGAAACCGAGAATTTAATCCCCGCACGGTATTCCTTCGGCCGTAATTACGCGCAAGAAAATTCACTTTATGCCGATCCGCGATCCGAATTAACATCCGCGGTGTCTGCCTATGCAAAAGGAAGCAGCCCGTTGGTCATCGGGAACGCTTAAAAGCCTCACTTGCCTTTCGAGAAGGGAACTTCCCGGTCCTAATGAACCTTTACTTCAGAGTTAATTAGCGGTAACGTCGGATTAAAGCTGGAAAAGCTCGCGTGAACCGAGCTGCAAGAGCCGTCTGTTTATCTGCTCGCCGGGTGAACGTGGTAGTTCGATCTTGCATTCTTCGATCGAACACGCAAGGCATGGCCAAACCATGCACGTACAGAGACGTTTGAATGTCGCGCAATTCGGTTTTACTGCGGTGGAAATTACTGGAATTAAATTCAAACCGAATTCAACGTCATTTGCTAGGGCAAATGTCAGACATCTATTGAGAATTCTAGGGGAACGAAATTCTCCGTCTAATCAAGCGACACAGTGAGTGTTACTTAACAAAAAAAGCTCGACGATCAAGCAGTGAAGAAATACTCAGTTTCCAACAGTGCGACACCGTATCTACTCGCTGCGTATCTACTGTGTATTATCCTACTACTCACTCTAAGAAAACCTCGGACTCGCTTCTGGGCAACACCAACCTCGGCAAGACGATTGCCTTCTTCCGCCTGCTCTTCAGCGTCTGCGCGGAGAACTGGAACTCGGACGACTGGACCGGCGAGTGTGGGCTGAGGATGGTGATCTTCCGGTCGCTGCCGCCGGGGCTCGTCAGCGAGAACACGCTCGAAGGGGGCGGCAGACTAAGATGCTGCGGGATCTTCCTCTCCAGGCCGGTGTTGGCGAACAAGCCGCGTCTGACTTCGGCGTTCAGGCTCTCCTCCCTGTGAAGGAGGTTGTCGCTGCTCTTCGACTCGACGGTCACGATCCTTCTCACGTCTTTGCTGGACGACGTCAGGAAGCTCCTGTAGTGGCTCTTGGAGCTGGCCACGTGCGACTCGGACAGGGACTCCAAGCTCTTCGAGTCCTCTATGGACCTCTCGTCCGCGCTGAGAAAGTTCCTCGACATTCTGAGGCTCTCCATCGACCTGGCCGTCACGTGGCCAGCGGTGCCAGCCGTCAAAAGGTGTTGTTGCTGTTGCTGTTGTTGCTGCTGTTGCTGCTGCTGCCTCTGGATCTTCGACAGACTCTTCACCTCTGGCTCGTACTCCTCCTGGCTCGACGAGGACTGAGGACTTCGATGGAATAAACCCAGTTTGGTCCCGGTGTACCTGGACACTCTGCTCCCTTCCTCGCTCACTCTCAAGCTGATCCTGGCCACGACCTGCTGTCTGGCTGTCGCGACAGACTCTGACTCCTCGGGAATGTCCAGCGATCGACGATCCCTGCCACCCGAGATCCTGTTGCCCTTCTCGTCAGTCACCAGGGGCTCGATCGCCTCCTCGTCTTTCGGGATGTTGTCCACTTCGTTCTCCGAGGCGCACTCCATAGTGTCGGAGTCGTCGGTTGAGTTCCTCTGGCGTGTCTCGAGCCTGGAGCTCATCGACGCAAGCTTCGACGAAATCAGCAGCCTCGTTTTCGACGACTCTTTGCGGGAATGTTTGTTCACCAGAGTCACAGACTCTCGCTTCTCGTCCGTGTCGTCGTCGTCCATATTGCCAACGTTTGTTGACGAGCGACGGGATTCAACAGGGAAGTGATGAAATGTGGCGTGGAAATAAAGTTTCGCCTCCTCGGAGGATTGGCGAGGATTTCAAGCAGCGCGGCTGGGCAAACCGGGCGGATCGGGGACGAAAGAACAGTGGCAATATCGCGGCTCGGGTCAGGGATGATCGAGTCTTGATCCCCGTAGGGTACGCCGGGTCATCACTGCGGGAATCACGGTATCCAAGTTGCGATGCGAGCCTATCGATTCACGATTCTCCGCTCGGTGTTTAACTTGGAAGCTGAAAGAGGTAACGATCTGCGTCGCGTTTGTGCTCTCGGGTTTTCTTTTGGAGTACCTTTAGTTACCCTCGCGATTCTTATAGTTTCCTAATTCTAATTTCAACTGACACAATTCGAAGTGATATAATTCTCACTCTCTCGCAGGTTTACGCAGTTCAATTTTGTATTTCTTCCTTTTCTTTTTTCTTTTTTTTCGTGGAAGTTAATATAGAATTTGAAATGAAAAAAAAGCAACCATCTTTGCTGCGTTGTCTCACGTTCGAGAGATTCTCGCAAATTCAATTGCAACTGACGATTCACGGCAGCAGTCGTTCCGTCACATTCGAGGCAACTTTAAAGCGGAACAAAGCGATTTGACTTGGCTGAATCGATTGAACTTGGATCGATCGCGACCGAGCGCTAGGTTTATCATAGTTCCCCTATCGATCAGATAGCCCGACAGATTAACCCAGAAACGTTTAACTCTCAAGGATTAGTACGCCTTCGCGTGAGCCTATAGCCAGGGACGAATCGTCGTCGACGGGACGTGTTCCCCTCGTCCAATTTTCAAATCGATCATCAACCGCCGGCGATATTTTCAGGTTTGGTTATCAAACAGACCTTGTTACAACAAGATTACACTCCGCTATCGCGGAACCGATTTCTAGAACGATATGCATCGTGCCTACTGATACCTATATGACTAATTATAGCTCGAATTGCGACGAAAGTGTTCCAGATAACTCGAAGGCATTTTCGAAAGGTTCCGAAATGATTCTAGAATTTCAGAATCAATTTTTAATTCTAGTACAGGCTGTTTGATTTGAAATTTAGAAACTCGGAATTTTACGGAGCATGCAATTCACGATGAAACGTGATTGAAATGTTCACTGAAAATTAGGATAATCGTCGCAGAGTGAGATCTCCTGGAATTTAGTGGAATCGAAATTTATCAGATTTATCCATGTTGAGCCATTTTACGGTTGGAATCGATTTTCCACGAAACATCGTAGCCTTTCGCGTTCCAGTTCCAAGCAGCTATGAAAAATCGCACGGATGAGAGCCTCCGAGTGAAAGATCGATCCGTCTCGCGTCACGTCGGTTGATCCAATCGTCGTTAGCACTGACCCCTAGCGAGCACGTTGATGTGATTGCCGCGATTCAACACCGACGACAATCTAATATCCATTTTTCTAAATGATTATCTCGATCATCGGACGCGATATCAGCCTAATAGAGATTTGAATTCGACGCCATTCAAGTTGCTCAAGGTTTGCCGAGGGACTGGAAACATTCGCGGTGACGAAGAAGACTTTGCTCTATCGAATTTTATTAACAATTGTTGAAATCTTAGATTTTTCTTCACAGCTTATTGAACCTGTGAATTTTCCGTATCGTTGAATCTTCGAATCCTCGAATTGCTGAACCTCTGGAAGCTTCCGAGTTTTTGAATATTTGAATCTCCGAATTGGTGAACGTCCGAGTTTTCGAGCTTTTGAATACTTGAACGTGTGAACTTTTGAATATTTAAATTCTTGAATTTCTGAATTTCCGTATTCCTCAATATTTAGATCTCCGAATCTTCGAGCGTTCAAATTTCTGAATATTCGAATTCTTGAATATTTGGATCTTCAAATTTCCACGGATGTTCGAATTTCTGAATCTTTCAATGTCCTAACTTCTAGACCTGAATTTCCGAATTTCTAAATATCTCTGAATTCGAATCT